ATAAAATTGAAGTAATTGAGTTATTTTGTTTTCACTCAATACCGTTACCGGTCTCCAATAACAGCAAATGTTCTCTCTTTAATCATAGAGCCAATTTACAACTGCTCTGTTTGTGAAAACTAATAGTTTCACGCTCGTGTCATGCCGCCGTCGCGACGCCAATTTAAAGCGTTCAAGACCAGACATAGGTACGTGTGGAAGTGATATTGACTGTGAAGCTCGGTAGTTGAACAGTTTAAGGAAAACTCAAAAACAAATAAAGCGATCATTGAAAGTGCGAGTGAGGAGTTTAAAAGCTTCGACAATATAGACGAAAAACGCAGATTGACGATAAAACAGTTAAAGTAAATATTATATTATTACCGTTTTAAATATCACTTTTGTTGGTTTCTAGTTGAAGCAGGTAACAGAACTGCACTGCAACTTATGGCAACTACACTACGACTTGAGCGCTACACCAAAAAAAAGTGTTTATTTTAAATTTGCTATTGTGGGATTTTCATTCTTGGTCTGTAGATTCTAATTTTGTTTAATTAAATAATTATAAGCCATACATTGTTAGTTGTTTTTACTTAACAGGTCGACGACCGATCACAATCATTTAGCCTTTTTATATTCACTGAAAATTTTAGAAAATCATTTCCGGTTAACACCGTTATAATTTTTATACACTGAATAGTATATATTAACTTTGTGAAAGGGAAATTTCGGAGATCCTATAAAGTATATATAGAAATGATCCGAGCGGAGTCGATTAGGTCATGTCCCCCAGCGTTTGAGATATCGATCTGAAATTTTGCACACATCCCTTTCTTTTTAAGAAGCTGCTTATTTGTTGGAAACGCCGATATCGGACTACTATAGCATTTAACTGCCATACAAACTGAATGATCGGAATCAAGTTCTTGTACGGAATTTTTTGTATTGGTTTTGTATCAGTGAAGGGATTACATGGGTTTCGCGGCTTCAAAAAAAAACCAAATTTTTTTATTGTCTTTTTGAATTCTATAACATCTCTAGAATATTGTCCCAAATTCTCAAGATCATATCAGTAATAGTTTTGGAGATACAGTTTGGTTACCTAAAACTTTAATCGCGTTTTTCTCGAAACTGTGTTTTCAAAGTCGGTTTTGAAGATTTATCGCGAACTACTCAACCGATCTTAATGAAATTTTACACAGGTCATTGAGATATAATACAATTACAACTATTTTAAAAAAATAAATGTCGAGCAAATTTGACCGAAATTTTCATTTTGTTGGAAAAAGGTCTGTTAAGGTCCAATTTTAACTTTGTTTTTCTCCATTCAAGCACAAGTTTATGGTCTTAACTAAAACACGTATGATTTTTTTTGCATTTTAGATGATCCTGTCGGGAGTTATGCTGATAACGCGGACGCACCTTTTTTTCGAGGGGTCACCGGAAATGACGTAACAATGACGGAGTTTTAATTTTTTATTTTTTTTGAAAATTTTAGATATTATTCTTTAAATGTGTGCTTGAATTAAATTAATAAGTTTTTATATAGAAAAAAAATATTGAAATATTGAAAATAGGCCTTTTATTACCCGACTAAACCCATTTCGTTCTAAGCAGGATTGTTAGTGGTCATCGGTATCGGATTCTCCTTTCTTTTCGATATCTCACGCATATTTGGCTCTGGCATTGTTGGCGATAATGACGATGAGCACTCACATTGGCGCCAACACGCTCAATATCTTAATTTGTTGATTTTAACACGCATTTTTCTAACCACTTTAGTGCTGATACGGATTGATAACTATGCCACTGCGGTTCAAAAATTTGCAAAAGTTTATCTTGCACCGCTTAGCCAGTATAAAAGCCAGTCAGCGGCTGCTTAGCAAATTAGTTTACGTGCCGCGCTTTTAAAACGCGCAAGTTTCTTGCCATAAGTTGGTGATTTTGAAAAGTGGGTGAGCATTCGCTATTGTTTTCAAATTTAATTTGTGTTGACCAAATTATTAGTAAAATTTAAAATTATTTAAATTGCTACTGAGCTGTCTATAGAAGGTATATGCTTTAATTGACGCACACGCTTGCGATATATTACAATAAATTGGATTAATCATGCACAAATCACATGTCAATCGGCGTTCAATGCACTCATCGTCATGATCTTGATCTTATTGCCAAGTCAAATGTTAAATTAAGTTAAGTAATGCATTTTGTATTTACATAAGCGAGCCTTTGACAATTGCTGGACAAAATATGCATATTTTTGTCAATAAAAGACAAGATAAAACGGTACAGTTGCGACGAAGCTATAATACCTTTCATCCATCAAAGGACTTGGTTTGATCGTTAACTTTGTGTAGCAGCTATATGCTATAGTTGTCCGATCTTAAGCAGCCCGGGTACATTTTGATCAGGTGATCTGAGTACCTATATTGGTTTGCCAAAGTACAAGCGATTTAGTATGTACTTACATTTCAGTAACATTAATATGAACTTTAAGATTTTAATTAACGATTCTAATTGAATTGACTTTATAATCACTTTCATTCAAGTACCTTAAAGCAAGGGCAGTTCTCGAACTCAAGTAGTAAGTACATCTAATTAACTTACAGAGATAACATTTCAAGTAGATCTTTTGCTCACAAAAGTAGTTAATTGCTTTGTATTGCGCACATATTTGTTAGTGAAATTGAAATCTATTCAATAATCCAATCTTCTATATATGTGGTATACCATATGACTATGATACATACACATTTCAATTCTTTCTGTTGTTCTTTAAAGTTATCTCGCCGCCGTCGCTGATAACGGCTGATCACGTACTAGAAAAATAAAATATTACAAGTTAAACACATATCGCAGGCTCATATGACATACCGCATACCGGTCAAGCAGTGGCATCGTAAATAATTTATCACAGAAGAACAATCGTCTATTTGTAGTTTAGAGATACTTAACTTCTCATATATGCCTATACACAACTAATTACCTTAAGAAGTAGCCTTATTTGTGAACTGACATGAGCTCTTCTCTTTGATTTTTATATAAGGCATACCTGAGCCCTCGAATGTGGGTGATCTAAAATAGTTCATTGTCAATGAGTATTGAAAAAATATTTATTCTAAATATTATCTGATTTGTTTGAATTAACAGTACATTAGATATTGGATAGTAGAAGTAATTTTTTAAATATATATTTCTCGTTTGTATATTAAATATAAAATAGATGTGTTAATCTTTCAAATTCTATGAATATAATAATTATGACGAACTATTAACTTCATTGTTTCCCAGAATTGGGCATTTAATATGATTGATTGACAGAAATTGAAGTGCAATTTTAAGTATTGTAATATTTGTCGGTACATACATATGCGAAAAGGCATTTAAATTCTCTCTTATATTTTTTCTGCTCAATAATTATTGGAATTTTTTTGAATAGTTATAAAAACGACGACGAGTGCACCATATAATTTTTGAATTGCGTTAATCTAATCTTTTTCGGTAGTAACTAGTAGTAAGTTATCGTTGTAGTGTGAAAACCATAAAAGTCGCTTGTAAATCAATATAAAACTTAATAAAGAAAACGGCTTTGGACGGATCCCTTATAAAGCTATAAAATAATTTACTAACCTTTAAAGTTTAAAAATCTAAGCATGACAAGCAATAAACAATGGTTCTAAGAAACAGAGCTGTTCTTAAAACATAGAAGTTTTACGAATTTCTGAAATTCGTGTTTATTTGTTGATAATTTCAAAAATAAATATGACTGTAAAGTCTATAGCCTGTATAGCCAGGTTCTCAAACAACAACGAATAACACACCTGTCTAATGAAATTCAGTTTCACTTATTTTTAAATACAAAGTGGAATCTTATTAAAAATCTTTTTATATTCACTGTCTGTAGTTGCCCATAACCGTTAAATCAGAATTTCATTAATGGTTACGGACGGCATATAAAGACGTCAAGTATTACCAAACTGTAGAATTCGAGATTCAGTGAATATGCTCGTATTTTCCAATCTACGATATTCTGTTTAATTTCACAAATACTTTTCGTCTTAAAACTAATGTAAATTTTTCCCATTTCAGCTAAAACTTTTTTTTAAAGATTTAAAAAAAAACTACGCATCATGAAAATTTTACTCGTCGCGCTTTTTGCCACATTAGCGGTAATTCAAACATATTTTACACGCATATATTTGTATTCTTATTGAAACACTACTCCACTCAATAGCTTCAGAATGCGCTGGCCAGCATAAAAGAGGAAATTACGGCCACTGAGTATATTGAGAATCTGAATAAAGAGATTGCACGTCGCACAAACCTTGAGACAGAAGCTTCCTGGGCGTATGCATCTAACATCAATGCGGAGAATGAGCGCATGAAGAATGTAATC